TTTAATATTATGACAATTAGATTTTTTTGTGGAATTTTCGGAAGCTTCTCTGATTTTTGCAGTTTGTATTTTTTAAATTAAAATCGTTGTGAGAGCTACCAGAATTGCCTCCGCGAGCTACCGGTAGCTCGCGATCGACAGGTTGGCGACCACTGTCATGATGATAATCTCTTTTCCGCCATAGTTTTTCTCGATGCTGAACTGCTGAAGATGTTTGGGTATGTACCCAAACTATGTTCTAGGTTCATACACTCCTATTCCAAGTGCTTCTGTGGTTTTGAAACCATTCGTAAATCACTGAATTGCATGTCTTTTGGTTGCAAACAAATGTAAAGTAACATTGAATATCTAAGTTTGATTAATACTATTGTAATAGCAGCTTGGCTGCTCAAAAGGGGGCGTCCATTAATTACGTGAGGTGTTCAAGGGGGGGGGGGGGGATAAAACTAAATCTTTCTAAATCTCACTTGGGGGGGAGGGGGGGTTTTCGTAAATCTCACGTAATTTTTTTTCTAGTTGAAAACGGTGTAAAATTGCGTGAAAGTAAAGTTAAATTATAGTAAAAGTATTTCTAGAATAAAATATGGAAAAATCTTATAATTATGTTTATTTATTTTTATTAATTTCCATTTAAGTATTTATCATTTAATTTTATTAATTTGATTTTAAATAATTGCAACACTCTCAAACACTAGTCTTTGCTAGTCTTATATAAAAGTAATGGAACATATTGTGTTTTTGTTTTTTTTTTAATAATCCAACACATTTACACTCAAAACACGAACTTTGAAAAATCTCACGCGAGATTAGGGAAGGGGGGGAGGGAGTTAAGGAAAATCTTACCAAATCTTGCCAGGGGGGGAGGGGGAGTCAAAAAATTCTCAAAAATACCTCACGTAATTAATGGACGCCCCCAAAAATGTAAAAGTACCTTCCTAGTTAAAAAAAAAAAACGTAAAATATCTGGTATCGATTACCAGATAGTTCACTAAAGAAAACTTTTGTTAATGTGTTAGCAATAAACTCTTAGTTAATTAATAATGGAGTAGATAGTTGTCACTACATATTACTGATTCTTTATATTCATCCCGGGCGTGCCTGGTTTTTAGTTTTCTTTGGGTGTAGAGCAAAATCTTTGTGATATTTTATATCGATCATATTTTTTGATTGCTTATACAGGGTGTCTGTAAAAGGTCTTTACAAAAACATACCACATATTCCTTAGACCACAATAAGTCGATTTAAGTTAAATTACCTTAGTACAAAGTTGCTTCGTTTGGGCTCCAGAGGGCCTTGAAGTTACAATTTTTAAATCGATTTTCCCATATAAATTTAAAACGGCATATGCGATTTTGCTGAAATTTGGTATATTGGTAGAGTTTTATATGGCAAAAAAATGGTATTAAAATTTTGTCCGATAATAATACATAGGCGTAGAACTTGATTTTTTAAATAATTGCACCTTTAAAAATTCTACGCCAATGGAAGAAAAGGAGTTTCAGTATGAAATTTAGATTGCGCAACTCATTTACTTTAAAAAGGTACTCTTGATAAGACTCGATTACTCTCATGGTTTTGACGAAATTTGCATTTTAGTAATTTTAGAACATAAACAATAATTATTAAAATACAAACTTTGTCAAAACCATGAGAGTAAATCGAGTGTTATCAAGGGTACTTTTTTATAGTAAATGAGTACCCAATCCAAATTTCATACTCAAATCCCTTTTCTGCCATTGGCGTAGAATTTTTAAAGGTGCAATTATTTAAAAAATCAAGTTCTACGCCTATGTATTATTATCGGACAACATTTTATACGATGAAAAACATAAAAATATACTTTTTTCATATCTTCTCCAACACCTCTAATCGAGACTTTTAACAAAAATACTCGATTCTTGCCATGACGATTTTTTGAGGAATATTAATTATTTGCCTGCAATACGTATACAAAAACATTTATTGTTGGTTTCCATAGTTTCATCTAAATAAAAATATTGTCAAGTTTTAACACCTAATCTCTTGTTAACGATGGAAAGTGTTCTATCTGACTCAATAATTAAAAAAACAAATGCGTGGCTGTACAATATACCAATGCAGAATATACCGATATGTTACTGACATTAGGATTTTGTGAAGGAAATGCTCGAGAGAGTGTCATGGTGTACTCTGAAAGGTTTCCAAATCGTCGTGTACCTAGCCACCCAACTTTTGCTGCTGTTGAGAGAATACGCATACTCTAACTTAAATCAGGGTGAAATGTTAGCATCAGTCTTTTGTGATTTTTCAAAGGCTTTTGATTGCGTCAGACATGATATACTTTTAAAAAACTATTCATTTATGGTTTACGAAATGCTACATGGCACTGGTTTCGAAGCTATTTATCCGACAGAATACAAATAATAAGGGTATCTGATAAATTTTCAAAATTTTCGGAAATTAAACACGGCGTTCCACAGGGATCAGTTTTGGGACCAATTCTTTTCTTAATCTATATTAACGATTTAACTAAGATTAGCATCTCCGGAAAATTTACGTTGTTCGCTGATGATACAACTCTCCTCTGGCATGGAAGGGATACGGATACTCTAAAACATACTGTGTCACATAACCTACACGTAATCAAAAACTGGTGTAACTCCAATTTTTTAAGTCTTAACATAAACAAAACAAACATATTAACTTTTAAATTTGCATATGATCAACTTCGTCTTGGCGAACAGTTGATTATAAATACACCCTGCTCCAGATTTTTAGGCCTTTACATCGATAACCAACTAAAGTTTGATGAACATGTTGCAATCTTAAACAAAAAACTGGCATCCGGGTGCTTTGCAGTTAGGGTTATTGCTAAAGAGCTGGGAAGTTTGTCAGCAAGAAATGTGTACTTTTCACTAATAGACACTCATTTAAGGTATGGTATTGTATTCTGGGGAAACTGCTCACAATATCTCCTTAACTCGGTATTTATTTTACAAAAAAGAGCTATAAGATTCCTAGCCAAATCTGATTACCGAGATCATTGCAAACCTTTATTTATCAAGTATAAAATATTGACTTTAACTAGTTTATTTATTCTAGAGACTGTTTGTATGATACACAAACAAATTTTAAATCTACCTACCCAGTCGAGACATTACAACACTAGACAAAATAATAACTTATTACTTCCGATTCCACATTCATCTCTAATTAAGAATTCAATAATCTATGAAAGTCCTAAAATATTTAATCATCTACCGGATGCCTTAAAATCAATTAGATCTCCATCATTATTTAGGAATACTATAAAAAATATATTAATAGAAAAACCATATTACAATCTGTTGGAGTTTTATAATGACGAATTTTAAAATTAGGCATTTTTTTCTGTGGATTTGTTTATATATATATATTTTTTTTTTTTTTTTATTATTGTAATCAATTTTAATATTTTTTAATAACGTGAACGTTGATATCTATTTGTTTTATTATACCATTAGTATTAAACTTTGTCCATGGAATCATGTATTCTCTCTGACAATAAAGTATATTATTCTTCGGGAGACCGGTTCCTTTGCTCCCAACACTGTTGATAATGGAAGAGAACGTTCTCTAAGGATTTCTGAAGTTGAAGAAGACATTTTAGAACGTGTTGAAGAAGATCCAGAATTAAGCACCAGACGAATTGGAAGGGAACTAGGAGTAAGTAAAGATGTCGTTCATAAAGTGCTTAGAGAACAATTGCTATATCCATACCATAAGAAGCCAGTACAAGAATTATTAGTCCATGATCCTCAAATTCGTTTGAGTTTTTGTCGATTTGTTAATATGCAAAGAGAAAGAGATCCAAACTTTGTCAAGAAGGTTCTCTTTACCGATGAAGCGGGTTTTACAAGAAGAGGTATAACTAATACCCATAATGAACATGTTTATGCCGTTGAAAATCCGCATGCAATAAAGGTAAACCATTTTCAGCACGAATTCAAAATTAATGTGTGGACTGGAATAATTTTTAATTTCATTGTTGGTCCTGTCATACTTCCACGAAGATTAACTAAAGAAAATTATTTGGATTTTCTACAAAATACGTTGCCAGAATTGTTAGAAGATTTACCTCTCCAACTTCGGAGAGATATGTGGTTTATGCAAGATGGAGCTCCACCACATTTTTCTTTAAACGTTAGAAACCACTTGAATGAACAATATCCACACAAATGGATAGGCAGAGGTAATGACGCACCTGTAAACTGGCCACCACGTTCCCAGACCTTACACCGATGGATTACTTTTTATGGGGACATCTGAAATCCACAGTTTACCTGTAGAAAATGAGGAACAACTCTGGCAACGTATTCAAGATGCAATAAACAATCTTAGAGGTGATGAAGAAGTTATGGAAAGAATACATTTTAATTTTCTTCGACGTATAAATCTTTGTATGCGTGAAAATGGTGAACATTTTTAATAATTTTTGTAAAATCTCTATTTTGATTATGTTGTAAATACATATTTTTGTGAAACCTATACACTCTAAATTATTAAAACAGAAATTTAGCGAAAACCATGAGAGTAATCGAGTCTTATCAAAAGTACCTTTTTTAAAGTAAATGAGTTGCGCAAACTAAATTTCATACTAAAACTCCTTTTCTTCCATTGGCGTAGAATTTTTAAAGGTGCAATTATTTAAAAAATCAAGTTCTACGCCTATGTATTATTATCGGACAAAATTTTAATATCATTTTTTTGCCACATAAAACTCTACCAATATACCAAATTTCAGCAAAATCGCATATGCCGTTTTAAATTTATATGGGAAAAACGATTTAAAAATTGTAACTTCAAGGCCCTCTGGAGCCCAAACGAAGCAACTTTGTACTAAAGTAACTTTACTTAAATCGACTTATTTTGGTCTAAGGAATATGTGGTATGTTTTTGTAAAGACCTTTTACAGACCTCAAAATTTAGTTTTAAGTCTGATAAACATTATTAGTTCACCGTTTTATGTTCTATTTCTACAGGAAACCTGATAACTGCAGATATAGTATTCTCCCTAGCACAAGCATTCAATATTCTCCAGCTAGGTATGGCCGGTTTCTTTTCATGGGCCATAGGCATTGGTGCCGAAACCTTAATCTCAGTCCAGAGGCTTCAAGATTTTTTGATTTTGGAGGAGCGAGAAGAAAGTACGATAGAAGAAATAAAACAAAGCGGGATAATAATGCTCAACGTCAATGCTTCTTGGAGAGGATCTGGTTCAAGAACATTGGGGGATATAATGTTACAAATCGCACCAGGTACACTTTGTGCTGTTGTTGGACCAGTTGGTGCTGGAAAGAGTTCTTTATTGCAAGTAGGTATTACGACTACAATTTAATAATTTCTAGGTTAAAAATAATGTTTTTTTAAGCTTCTTCTGGGAGAACTCCCATCAACAACAGGAAGAATTCAAATGGGAAAATATGTATCATACTGCTCGCAGGATCCCTGGCTTTTTCAATCTACAGTACGGAACAACATCCTCTTTGGGCAATTTTATAATAAAGATTTGTATGATAAAGTTGTTAAAGTTTGCGCATTGGAACGGGATTTTGAACAGTTTCCTAATGGTAAGAATTATTGCAGAATATTAAAGGATATTATGAGATTTTAAAAGGAAGATATTACGGAATATTATAAGGCATTAAAAGACACATTTAATGATATTAAAGAACATTAAAATGGCATTAAATAGCATAAATGACATAAAAGGACCTTAAAGTAAATTACAGGACAATAGAGATATTAAAACATATTAAAGGACTGCAGAGTACATAAAAATTAAATGGTATTATAGGAAATTAAAGGACATTAAAATATATTGTAGGACATTAAAACATTAAAGTACACTTAAAGTCAATAATGTCCATTAAGGGTAATTAAAGGATATTAAATGATATTAAAGGATTTTGAATGAATCAATTAAACTAAGAATTAATCCCGCATATACGTATTGTTCTTAACTAAAACAGGTGAGACTAGAGCCATCTTTAGTAATGCAATACACATTGATCTTCCAATGAGAAGGAAGTGAACACACGATTTTTTATAATAATAAAAGATAAACATTTACGTGAAACGATGTTGTTGATTAATAAAATGTCAAATAAAACAAAATGTGGGTGGTATTAAGAAATTTAAAAATAAATAAGAATACATGCAATATAAGTTTAAATATAAATTAAACAATCTAGAAAAAAATCCAACTCAAATGTGATAAAACGAGATTAAGATTTTATTTTTTGTTTGTCTAAAACAATCTTAATTAGCAATAAATGCCAGTATAATAGATTGTGACAATGTAAAAACTGCAATAAGCAAAATAAAGTTAAAAAAATATAAGAAAGCGAGAAAATCGTATATCATCATCCTGGGATACAGAAAAATTGAAGATTCTCTCTAAAAATAAAATAAAATAAAACGATTAAACGAAATATGCATAGATATAATATTAGTGGTTTCCGAAAAACAGGGTGTTAAAATTGTAACTTCATAAATGATTAATGGCTATAATTTTTTTTTATATCTCAGTATAATTTTACTAAATTCGGTAAACATTGTTGGTGTCATAAGATACACCTATTAGCAAAACAATTAGGTGAATAAACTTTACCAGTAGCGTAGGTACAACACGGATAAGTAACATTTCACTAAGCAAACGTTTTTGGTGTCATAAGATCCTTTGTCTTTCAAAAACGTCGGAATTATAGACATTCAGAGACTGCACGAGTTCCCAAGTAGAGATGCGGACTTCGTGAAAACTATAGTCTATTTTTGTGTATGAGAGAATAATAAAACAGCATTTCTAATGCAAAACTTAGTACGGTCATTTTAAACATTTTTGCAGAATAATCTAAATATTTCCTAAAATTGTAATAAATGTACCTGAGCTATTACAAGTTTTGGGTCTTTTATTGGTCCTTTATAAACATAAGCTGTACAGAACAATAGAAAAAGGTTTGGACAGGCTAAAAGCCCTGTGTATTAAAGATTACATAGCCGTATCTTAAGATTATTTTCAATAAGTACCTATTTGCCAATTTTGTTTTATTTTAATTCCAAGAATTTCTTACAGTAATCGAATTATAAGTAGATAAATACCTTTTCAACAAATTTAACTGAAAATGCGATTATAGGTTTTCCATTTAGTAAGGAGGTCCAAGTTGTGTATTCTTGACAGTTTACTAAATGTTGTTTAGTTGCAACTTACAAGGTGCAGTGTGAATTCTAGTGTGATCATGGAAAATTTGGAAGGGCCGCGTAAACGACAAAAAATCGGTCCTTTAACAGTTAATGAAAAAACATTAATAGTTAATTGTTTTAAATCATTTACAGACAAACATTTATGTAAAAGTGTTGATGACACAGAGGAATTAGTTAGTAGTACGCTTGGTGTTGGGAAATCTACAATTTAGAGTTGTTAAAGAAGAGAAATGTGGCGTGTTTCAAACAGCACGTAAAGCTCCAAGAAAACCAAAATTTTAATTAGAAAATCTTTTGAAAGAAAGACTTCGAAGGAAAGTGCATGCGTTCTTCTTTAGAAAAGAATTTCCGACAGTAGACAAAGTTCTTGCCACGGTTCGAGATGATAGGGATTACCCTGAAATGAGTCGAAGCACACTATGGAAACTTTTAAAAGAAATAGGTTTTCTATGGAAAAAGCATTCCAGAAAGTCTATTTTAATAGAAAGAAGCGATATTGTAGTATGGAGAAGAAATTATCTAAGGACTATAAAAGAAATGAGAAACCAAAGAAGACATATATTTTATTTAGATGAAACATGGATCAACGAGGGACATAAACCAAATAAATTTTGGCAAGATGAAACTGTTACAAGTCGAAGACAGGCTTTTTTAAATAATTTATCTACTGGTTTAAATCCACCATCAGGAAAGGGGTGCAGACTAATAATAGTACACATTGGCAGTTCAAACGGTTTTGTTAAAGGTGGTTTATTGACTTTTGAATCTACTCGTACCGGTGACTACCATAAGGTCATGAATGCTGATGTCTTTAAAGAGTGGTTCGAACAAATTATAGATCTTCTTCCTCAGAACTGTATAATAGTAATGGATAATACAAGTTATCACTCGAGACTTATAGAAAAAATGCCCACAACCAAGTGGTTAAAAAAAGATTTACAGAATTGGCTAAATTCAAAGAATATTAAGTTCCCTCCTGGTTCTGTGAGAAAAGAACTGTATCATTTGTGTTCCCTTTATAAAGAGAAATTTAAAAAATATGAAATTGATGAAATTGCAAAAAATGGTGGGATGACGGTGGTTAGATCACCACCATATCATTGCGAAGTAAACCCGATTGAACTGATATGGGCACAGATAAAGGGAGAGTTTCAAGAAAAAATAATTCTTTTAAAATGAGTGATGTTAAACAGTTGTTTTTGGAGGCTGTAAATAATGTGAAGCCTGAAAACTGGGAAAAGGCAGTAAATCATACGATTAAATAAGAAGAGAAAATCTGGAAGTTGGACAATATTACTGATGCAATGATCGAGCCACTCATTGTAAATATTGGTTGCGACAGTTTATCTTCTGATTTCGATTCTAATTTGGATTTGTAGGTAAGAAGTAGTTTTTATATTAAAATTATTATTTATGAACGTAACGTTGTTTAAAAGTCAAAGTTTAAACCCTCATACCTACATAACCCGTTTGACACAATGTTCTTAACATACCTTGTGGAAAAATAAAACATTTTAGAAAAAATTGCACTTTTTTACCTTCAGCTGTTTAGAAGTTATAAGCAGGTTAATTAGGTGAAAATATAAGTGTATACTCGAGGAATAACTTTAAAAAATATTTTAACTGTCTACTAAAATAAGTGTTACGCCTATGGATTACGAACGCTTTATTATTTTAATACTCTCTCATACATAAAAATAGACTATATAAGTAGTAAATATATTTTTTCTACACCCGTATTATAATAATGCACTTATATGCCCATAATCCGTTTCATAATGATACCCATTATGATACAGATTTTTCATTACGATACAGATTTTTAATCAATAGAAACCTACAATTTTTCAATCAAGCATGCTGTTTGACGTTTGTCCTAGGTTCCTATGTAATTATTTTAGTTGTCAAAACGTATTAAATTTTCGTAGGTAGCTAAACTTCGATAATTATAATATTAAAATGTCTGATATTAGCGATATAGAAGACTCCTCCACACATATCGGAGAAAGCAGAAAATACAGTACAAAATATTTTACCGCAAAAATCTAGGGAAATACCAATACCTGAAGTAATACCATTAATTACAATTTTGTAGAATTTTTTATAGAAATACGAGTAATTACTGTTATTGTGTTCAATACCAATATAAATATAATATTTATAGGTCTTGATTATTTATCGGGTGTAGAAAAAATAGCGTATGCAACTCTCATGTAATGGTTATTAAAACACTCGCATAAACCATACGAAACTCGCCTTTGGCTCGTTTCGTATCCCGGTTAATGCTCGTGTATTAATAACCATCATTACATGATCGTTGCATAATATACTATTTTCTACCTACGATCCAGTGGCGGCTCATGGGCACTAGCGGCAGTGGGGCACACACTGGAAAGGAATCCCGGGATTCGTTTTTCCCTTAGGAAAACAAGTTCCTTAATGAAAATTAAATATATTTCAAAACAAATTAAATATTACAAAATTAAAGACTAACTGCTAGGTACCGCTGCAGTTGTATACTATTTCTTATAGTTGAAGTCCATTCTTCTGGATTCTTGGCTAGCGAAATGATCGATTACCAGATTATTAAAATTTGGAATGGACCGATGGATAATATGGCTAACGCGCACAATCTATATTGGCACATAGTGTTCCTTAAAAATGTTTTAATACGTTTTAGTGTCGAAAAACATCTTTCACTCTCCACATTGCTCTTGCACATTCAAATTTAACTAAAGAGTTAATGTTTTCCGTGTTTTGTCATAATTTGACATGGGCACTTAAACCCAATATAATCAAAAATTCAAAGCCTTGTTTATAGACTAGAATATCAAATGGTCTTGGGTAAAAACTGATAGGGTACAATAAGCCTAACGATTAAGAACAAGAGAACTTTCAACTGCAGTATTTATTTTGTTTCTTTATTTCATTAAGAAAATTGACCAAATTTTTTAAGATTATGAACAATTTATCATTCTACAAGTATTATTATTAATTATTTTTAAGGCGATAAAACCGTTGTCAGTGAACGTGGCGTTTCTTTGAGCGGTGGACAAAGAGCTAGAATAAACTTGGCAAGAGCCATTTACAGACAAGCTGATATCTATCTATTGGACGATCCTTTATCAGCCGTTGACGCTCATGTTGGAAAACATTTATTTGAAGAATGTATCAATAAGCACTTGAAAGGTAAAACGAGAGTTTTGGTCACCCATCAGTTGCAATATTTGAAAGAGGCACATCTAATAGTGGTTCTTAACGAAGTAAGTAGCACATAATGTGTCTAGAAAGACGTCGTAATTACACGAAAACAAAATAAGATAAAATCAATTCAATATTTTATTTTCAATTTCAATAAATCGTTTTCTTGATTCAATCTTTCTTTTACCAAAACAATGATTATTTTTTCAACTGTCAAAATAGTCTAATTTTGTGATTTCGGCTCACAATAGCAATCAAACATTGAGTTTTACACTGATTAAATCAATAATTATACTATTTACTAATCACAGAATATTTTTTTCGTGTATTTTTAACTATTTGGAATCATTTTTTAAGGGCCAAATTGAAGCTCAAGGTACTTTTGAGGAACTAAGTAACAGCAAACTTGACTTTACCAAAATGTTATCGCAAGTAGTACAACCTGCCGATAAAAATAAAGATGGAGAGTCGGAAATTATTGTTACGGGACATTCTATTACTAGTAAACATGGTTTAACGTTATCACTCATATCAGTAAGTATATATTTTGGATTGATACAATTTGATGATGGAAAAATAATTTTAATTATTTCGTATGGGTGATTTAAAGCACACAATGCGATAACTGATAAACAAATTAATATTTTAAAATACTCAATTGCAAATATTCTACAAATAAACTATTCCAAACATAATCTAAGATGGCCGGAGCGCCACTGCTAAGCGTTGATGGGTAAACAAGTAAAAATTTGATTTCTACGACTCTATACTTTCATCTAATGAGACCAATGAGGTTGAATACTTCCCCCACTCTTAGTGATCATGTTATAGTTGTCAAAGAGCTGTCAGAACTTTGTTCAAATTTAAATATTTCGACGTTATTTCTATCTTAATAAGTGTTTTTTTTTATTAATTTGTATAAAAATCATGACTAAGTGTGCCAAAATTAATTGTAAAAACTCTTCAGTGAAAGAGCGTAAGAAAATATCTAATTTAAGTTTTCATAAGTAGGTATAAGGAGTGTACTTAGAATTTTTTTAGAATGTTTAACTTTTTTTATTATAGTTTTCCAAAAGACCCACAATATCTCAAAATTTGGTCTAAATTTGTGGGAAAAGACCAATTTGAGCCTAAACCGAATAGCATGTTGTGTTCTATTCACTTCAAGGAAGAATTTTTTGATAAGAGTGAGTTTAGGGTCAGATTGAAGAAGAATGCTGTTCCGACAATAAATGAATGTTTAATTAGTATACACTTTATTTACAATAAAACTTAAATAACTAACTTAATAAAGAACATTGGCTTGACTAACTTTTTAATAAAAACAAATAACTATATTAAAACTTAGATAACTATAATAAAACTTAAATAACTAACTTTATAATTAAACTTAAAAACCAACTATAATTAAACTTTTCTAAATATATAATCACTTACATTTCTGGATATGTTGTTTATTATTTAAAAAAGAAAATAATTTGTGAACAATGTCTAGATGCTTTAATAATAATTTTCATTCATTGATATAAAGAATAAAAATGGTTTGCAATATCCATCGGAAGATGTAATAAACATTTGGTTAAAATGTGAAAAAATATTAAAAATTATGAAAGAATAAGAAAAACATATCAGTTGATATCATCAGCACATTAAAAGAATTCATAAATTCTAATGTCTTTTCGAATATTATGCAGCACAGTTTGGACCAGTTTGTGTTGGATAATCATAGAATATTATTAATCAAGTGCATAGTTGATAAATATGTTAGTATCCGACTAACATATCTCACTAAAACTAGAGTTAATAAAGCTGCTAGCATAAGACATCAAAACAACAAAATAGTGTTGTTTAAAGGTCAATAAATATTTTTTTAAATAATAATTTTTTTTTTGTAGTGTCTTATTAAGAATGGGACACAGAAAAACTGAAGAGTTACCTATAATTTTACCAAATTTGGCAAAAGTTTTTGGTGTCATAAGATACGTTACACTTATTTAAACTATAATTATATATTTTTTGATGTTTTTTAAGTAAATCATATAGGTACTTTTGTTGGGAACTTATAAGAAACTTCAAAATTAAAATTAAGAATATTCGCATTCTAAGCATAGTCTTATTTTTAATCAGACTCTTCAGTTGTTCTGAATCCCTTTCTCAATGAGACACCTTGTATATAAACTTCCCACTTGAACAATTTTATATTTTTCAAGTATGTACAATACAGGTGTATCAGAAATTAAAGCAAAAAGACAACTTATAACAAAGGTTTAAATTTAGTAATGTCAAGTCATCCTTGCACCCTAAAAAAGTACCATTGAGGGAAATTATTCCTCCAATGCAACCAAACAGTTATTTTTAGGATAAGATTTTGTGTCAAATGTTATCCACAGTCACAGGGTTTCTTTTTAAATGGCATGACATTCAAAATTTTGATCAAAACAATTTTCATCATGCACTTCTCTTGGAAATTCACAATGCTTTATTAGGATTAAAAACACCAGTTTCTAGAAACTTTTTCACTATAACACTAACATTACTGATCAGAAAAAGTGGTTAAAGTTTTCTTTTTGTAATCACAAATCGCAACTGAATGCCTATTTTTAAAATAAATTATCTCTATAATTCCATTTGTATAGTTGTATGCTGTGCATCTGTGAGATAGTTGTTTATTATACATAGGTACCAATTATAGAAATCTTTAGTAAGTACTTGCTTGCAATTTTAGTAATATATGTACCTACCCTATATAATTAATTATTTCAAACATAAATAAAACCTACAACTATTATCTGAGTCTTTTTAGTTCCGATTGGTTTTGACAGAGTAGTTTTGATCATGGTTTTCTTCCATCTACTTTTAACCATAAAGTCATACCTAGCTGAATTTTTGGTATTTTTAAACTTTTGACTGTAGCGGGTCATATTTTTAATGTATGTCATCTGCAGCAGAAAGACCTACATGTTTTACATTTAAAAGTAATTAATTGTCCTTTCTACAAACCCGGCTGTATTTTTACTGAAATATATTTATTCACAATTCACGTAGTGGTTTGGTTTTTGGTTTGGTAATTTGATGTCATAATTCTCCTCATTGTCAGATTTTGACATTGGCAGCTTTGATCAAGACAAGAGAGTCCTTGAACGAAAAATCGTAGTTCGGGTTTTAGTTTTAAAACACAAAGAGATTAACAAATCTGATGCACAGTGTTATTCGAACGTTGATTTTCGATCACACAGGTCATATATCGGACGGTTTCGGTGAAGACAGAACAATATAATATTAATCTCTTCTATGGTCTTGGCATTGGCTTGGTCGGAAAACGGTTAATAAATAATAGTAAATAGTGTAGAAGTCATAATTGCGCAATGTCATCAAATTAATTTCGAATCGATCATGTTGAAACAAATCTTAGGTAAGTAAGTCATTTAAAAATTGTAATTCTGCATACGGACTTTAATTATATTTGAATACGACCCTGCTTAGTCAACCATTTAAGCCACGCCCAGTGGGGTCATTTTTAATAAAACGTATTATAAGGTTCTTTCGTTCGCTATTGGTGAAGTGTACACCAGTGTAAATTACACCAGTTACACCACTTTATTTACCTTAGTTTACTTCCCTCCTTATTCCTTATATACATGTCGAGTGTAATTCACTCCTGCTAAATAGCTGGTGGAGAAAATATCCACCAGTGGATACCACATAGCCGACAGGAAGGTTTAGTGGATTTTACACCGGGCCGAACGAAAGGTTTAGTGTACGTTGGTGTAGTTCATTCCTACACCAGTGGGACGAACGAAAGAACCTCTTTGCAAAACAATTGCCTCATGGCATCTCCATTAGTATTATACCTCCATGAATCAGACGGACTTTAAATATGAATCAAAACAACAGTGGCGCATCCAGAGTTTAAGTTTGGGGACGGGTAGTGAAAATATTGACTTTATTACTGATATAATTTAAAAACAAAACAAACAAAAAAACATATAATACAAGTACATTTAAAAAGAACAACTTTTACATGTATAATAAATATTAAAAACAATAACACGAAAGCTTATAAATGAAAACATAACAAAAACAAACAAAAATATTTTCTTGGGTATAACATATTCGCATGACCAGAAAACATGAAATGAAAAAAATTATAACGTAAAATCAAGTCGTTTATTTTTATTATTTGCATATCTATTTATAATATGGTCTACATTTACTTGGATGTCTCTGTGTATAAACAGAGAGGAAAAGCTTCTTTCAGCTGAAGCTACACTAACGGGTAGAGTGACCACAACTTGTAGGCATTTTTTCAATAAAGAAAATATATTTTCATCGTAAGACGAATATAAACCGATACCATCTATCTGTATCGCTTTTTTTACGCTTTTCCAAATACTGAATTCAGATTTTAATTTTAAAAGTATTAAATCTCTGTTTTGGTTATTTTCAAATTTGCTTATATATGCCGCAACTACTTCAATCGACTGACTAATTTCAGTATCCGTTTTTGAATTGAAAATGGAAGAAAAAAATATATTGAACTCGTAGGTATTCAAAGATTCCTCGTTAAAACGAAATTGGAGATCTTGCAATATATTATCTAACAAAGGAATATAGATGCTAAGTCTAAAATAAGATTCGTTATTTTCTGAAGATATATTGGGGGGATGCGCTTGTCTCTGAGTAACTCTTGGTTTGATAATTTCTAAATCTAATTTTTATGAATATCTGACACTAAAGTAAAAATGCTCCTAAAATAAGTTTGGGAATTTCGACATCTTTCTTTTAAAATGGTGATAACATTTTGTGTAAACTTAGTAACATAGTGTTTATCAATTGACTTCTTTTGCAATATTTTACTTAAATTTATAGTCAAAGCTAAAATATCAGACTGAGAGCATAACAAAACTATAAAAACGGTGGAACCTATAGCATTTTTTAAACATTCTGCTTTTGAAGAGGCGTCCCAATCTTTCCAGTGGGAAATAATGTCAAGAAGGTCTACAATGATTTGAATAGTACTTTGAAACTGAAGCACAGATTCGTGACGTTCTACCCATCTGGTCTCACATAGACTTTTAAGCTGACTATGGCCATCTAAATTTTGCTTAAGAAGACAATTTCTTTTTGCGGAAACTTTAAAAAATGCATTTACCTCTTTTAAGTGCATTAATTAATTTTTTTTAGTTCAGTAACGGCTCCTAGCACCAAGCATTAAGTTGCAAGTATCAGTACCAATTCCTATACACTTAAATTAATTTTTTTAATAACATTAAATAAGATTTGAGCCAAAATTTTACCATTAACTGTTGGTTCTAATGTGTCCTCATCAAACATTGCGTGACAATCAATAAAACCTACGAAATCTTCGTACAGACAATTTTAATAACAGTATCTTAAGATTATTGACATTTGTGACTTATGACTTATGTTCGTGGTTTCGTCAAATATTACAATATAAAATTGACTTTTATTTACTCGCTATAAAATGGTTTCTAAAATATCCTCACCACAGAATTCAATTATTTCATTTTGCGTATAACTACTAATATAGGTTGCACGAGATGAAGTGTTTTCTAAATGTTTTTTTAATACAACATCGCCACTCTCTATTCTAAATTTAATTAATTCACGAAAGTTACCTTCATTATTTACAAGACTATCTTCATCTTCAGAAGAATCTTCGGAAATGACAAGAGATTCTCGATCTCTATGAACTCTAAAAGGAATATTTTGTCATCCCAAAAAGATTACTGACTCGATAATGGGTTTCAATCTAAGTTTATTTTCTAAAATCTGCCTCTGTCTTTCTTGAGTTAATGTATGTAAAAATTAGGTTTAAACATTCTGGGGGAGGTAATTACCCCCATTACTCCCCCCATATATGCACCCCTGCAAAAAATATATTTTACAAAACTTGTAAATCATTTGATTCTTTATAATTTACCTAAAGAGTATTATGTTTCAGAGCGACATATCTCAAAGCGTGGATGTTTTTCCACAACAAAACCAAGAAGTGATCGAGGAGGAATCAGCAAGTGATCCTAATAGTAAACCCTTCAAAGACTACGTGTTAGCTAGTAAAAACATCTGCCTTTTAGTGATTCTAATTTTAATGCTAATCGTAGCTCAAGCTCTTTGTGCAAGTGCAGACTTTTGGGTGGCCTTTTGGTAAGTTGCGAAACAGTGGCAGCATATAAATAATTTGCTGTCTTTTGGTTTTTGCTTTGCTGCTTCAGAATAAAGACAAATTTTATTACAGGACTCAACAAGAAAAGATACGTCATACAAACAACACAAGTATTTTAGAATCATCGCTGGCTGAAGATGTACAAATCCACACATTAAATGACTCCAATACTCAAACGCTACAAAACTATATCTACAATGTTTCTCTACCAATTCCTTACAGTTTCTCATTCAATGACATTTTCGATTACATTCGAATCGACAACGATGTTTATAAAGTTATCAAAACTAATTACGCGATGTATTTCTATGGAATTCTGATAGCAGGAGCGACTATATTCACTTTAGTTCGATCGATATTGTTCTTCAAAATGTGCATGATGTCATCCGTGAATTTACATTCGAAGATATTTCACTCTTTGTTACAAGCACCGATGAAGTTTTTTAATATTACACCTAGTGGAAGGATCTTAAATAGAGTTTCGAAAGACATTGGAGCGATAGATGAAGTTTTACCCAGAGAGTTGTTGGAATCTTTACAGGTAAATAGTTCAATCAGAATTTGGGTCGATTTAACTCTAAAAAATATTTATAATTTAGAAAATAAGCAACTTTTCAACAACACTGTAGGAGAACTACACGTCTCGTTACACCATAGGTCTTGTCGAAGAAGAAAAACTACTAAAACTTGTTTAAAACTTATTTTTACTCGAAGAACCATGTAATTTTTAATCGCTTACAAACGTTTTATTTAAACACGAAATATCGTTGAAGTCTCTGATTATTGTCAGCGATACCCTTTTTATCAACTCTGTCTCCCTCCTTAAACCCCCAGAAGTACCAGGCCTATTGCTCGGGAAAAACCGTTCTTTAAAATTGTTGTGGATTAGTACCAACTACCTAAGTTTAGTAAGTTATGACGGACTATTATCCGTTCTAATAGAATTTTTATTACCCTTGATTGGGGCTTATTTTGGGATTTTAAAAGATTAGGGAAAACCAGAGCTCTTCCACTGCGGGTCTATACTATAGTCTATTTTTATGTATGAGAGAGTAATAAAACAGCATTTCTAATGCAAAACTTAGTACGGTCATTTAAAATATTTTTACAGAATAATCTAAATATTTCCTAAAATTGTAATAAATGTACCTGAGCTATTACAAGTTTTGGGTCTTTTATTGGTCCTTTATAAACATAAGCTGTACAGAACAATAGAAAAAGATTTAAACAGGCCAAAAGCCCTGTGTATTAAAGATTACATAGCCGTATCTTAAGATTATTTTCAATAAGTACCTATTTGCCAATTTTTTTTTATTTTAATTCCAAGAATTTCTTACAGTAATCGAATTATAAGTAAATAAATACCTTCCCAACAAATTTCACCGAAAATGCGATTATAGGTTTTCCATTTAGTAAGGAGGTCCAAGTTGTGTTAGTAGTTAGTAGTACGCTTGGTGTTGGGAAATCTACGATTTACAGAGTTGTTAAAGAAGAGAAATGTGGCGAGTTTCAAACAGTACGTAAAGCTCCAGGAAAACCAAAATTTCAATTAGAAAATCTTTTGAAAGAAAGACTTCGAAGGAAAGTGCATGCGTTCTTCTTTAGAAAAGAATTTCAGACAGTAGAGAAAGTTCTTGCCACGGTTCGAGATGATAAGGATTACCCTGAAATGAGTCGAAGCACACTATGGAAACTTTTAAAAGAAATAGGTTTTCTATGGAAAAAGCATTCCAGAAAGTCTATTTTAATAGAAAGAAGCGATATTGTAGTATGGAGAAGAAATTACCTAAGGACTATAAAAGAAATGAGAAACCAAAGAAGAAATATATTTTATTTAGATGAAACATGGATCAACGAGGGACATAAACCAAATAAATTTTGACAAGATGAAACTGTTACAAGTCGAAGACAGGCTTTTTAAAATAATTTATCTACTGGTTTAAATCCACCATCAGGAAAGGGGCGCAGACTAATAATAGTACACATCGGTAGTTCAAACGGTTTTGTTAAAGGTGGTTTATTGACTTTTGAATCTACTCGTACCGGTGACTACCATGAGGACATGAATGCTGATGTCTTTAAAGAGTGGTTCGAACAAATTATAGATCTTCTTCCTCAGAACTGTATAATAGTAATGGATAATGCAAGTTATCACTCGAGACTTATAGAAAAAATGCCCACAACCAAGTGGTTAAAAAAAGATTTACAGAATTGGCTAAATTCAAAGAATATTAAGTTCCATCCCGGTTCTGTGAGAAAAGAACTGTATCAGTTGTGTTCCCTTCATAAAGAGAAATTCAAAAAATATGAAATTGATGAAATTGCAAAAAATCGTGGGATGACGGTGGTTAGATCACCACCATATCATTGCGAAGTAAACCCGATTGAACTGGGCACAGATAAAGGGAGAAGTTTCAAGAAGTTTTTGGAGGCTGTAAATAATGTGAAGCCTGAAAACTGGGAAAAGGCAGTAAATCATACGATTAAAGAAGAAGAGAAAATGTGGAAGTTGGACAATATTACTGATGAAATGATCGAGCCACTTATTGTAATGTTCATCTTCTGATTTCGATTCTGATTTGGATTTGTAGGTAAGAAGTAGTTTTTATATTAAAATTATTATTTATGAACGTAACGTTGTTTAAAAGTCAAAGTTTAAACCCTTATACCTACATAACCCGTTTGACACAATGTTCTTAATATACCTTGTGGAAAAATAAAACATTTTAGAAAAATTGCACTTTTTTACTTTCAGCTGTTTAGAAGTTATAAGCAGGTTAATTAGGTGAAAATATAAGTGTATACTCGAGGAATAACTTCAAAAAATATTTTAACTGTCTACTAAAAGAAGTGATACGCCTATGGATTACGAACGCTTTATTATTTTAATACTCTCTCATACATAAAAATAGACTATATGAATAGTAATATACAGTATGATACAAAAAAATATATTTATTGTAAATAATGAACTGAATGTTTTCGAGACTTTCTCGAACAAACACCTTTACTGAAAAATATATACATAACAATAGCCATAAGTCACGCACATCAAAACCTTATTATGAGCGAATTCAAACTCATCTTAGTCTCATAGAGATTGACTCTTTCCATTCGATACTGACCCTCCTCCTTCCTGGATCGTTAAAAATTTGTACTTCTGCCAATTTAATTTTTCCCATAAAAGGCAACCTCTAATGGTAATACTGGAGTTGGGGTAGCATTTGTAACACTTTGACTTCAAACTGCCTTCATCCTTCAACATTTTTACGACTCACAATGGGCCAGATTTTATAAAACCTGTCCAAAATTTATTAATTAATTTAAGGACAAAAAACAAACATTTTTTGGCGTTTATGATTTTATAATTCATATTTTTAGATATTTTTGGTAATGGGTGGTATCATGGTGAACGTTGCTGTTTCCAATCATTATTCCATGGTAGCTATGGCTGTGTTAGGCATCACATTATTCAAAATGAGTACTAGCTACATATCCACAGCGAAGTCTTTAAAACATTTAGAAGCAAAAAGTGAGTGTAAAATCGATCGTCTTTCAGTTATTTGAATAAAATATATTGTGAATTTTTGATTTTAGCAAAATCACCAGTATATTCGCATATAAATTCGACAATCAATGGAATTTATACAATTAGAGCTTCAAAGGTTGAAGATATTTTAATAGACGAATTCGATCATCACCAAGTAAGCAAGTAGATCACTATATTTAATATTTATTTATAAAAAAATATCAGTAAAGCATATGTGGTCTACTTACGAGCAGATTGAAAGCTTCATTTATGATTTTGACCCCCAGCGTTAGGGCTGGGCTAGCCTGATGTAATAATAAAATATGGTGGATGTATTTCCAACACATCTGATTACCAGATGTTTTATTTACTGCAAATGAAAATAAGTATGCGCCAAAGTAACTTTGACAAATCACGGAAAATTTCAACTGTCCAATTAGATTTGAATGTTTAAAAGTCAAAACTTAGTTACACATGTTAGTGACACAAGCTTTTACGTTTGATAAATTAAAATTAAACATATCGAAACTATAGGTCATTCACTGAATGATTAAGAAATAAATGAAAGATTTGACCTTAGAGCATATAAGACTAGAGGCGTTACTCAAATGGGTTTGTACTGAGGGGGGTAACCCCTTTCGATGTTAGGTACACGACGCGTTATGATTGGCGAGTTAGGTACACGACGAGTTATGATTGGCGAATTTAAATAGCGCGCGTATTTGTGATAAATGACATTTCATTTGACGTCTTGTTCTGGTTTTTAAAAAGATCAATTTTTGGGGCTACTGAAAACAATTTGGACGAGGTGCCTCTTTCATAAGCTTCTAAAGTGTGTTTTTATTTTAAAATAAATGCTAATCATGCCGAGAGTTTTTATAGTTTGCATAAAAAAATTCTTTAAAGGATCCCGGTTGACGTTTCACATGTAAGTATTCTATATTCCATAAACGTAACTTAAAATGGGAAATGGGCAAATTAATAAGAAAACATGTTTGCAGAAAGTTCTTCATTTGAGCATCACCACAACTGGTTGCGTTCGACAGAAAATAATTGTTTCCTTTGCGATATAATGCTTAATGTACTTTTTTTTGTGTATTGTAAAATGGATTAGATACCTTTTTGTATTGTACATATTGTGTCGAAGTCACTAAATTTTATTTTTAATTCATCTTAAAAATGTAATATTTCAATTAATTCCCGCCTGAGAACATGTAGAAGTTCCCCCGTATTTCTGTTTCCCAGGAATTAGTGTTTTTCAACAATTGCGAGTACCCTCGTAGATTAAAATATTCTTATATTTGCTGAAATCCGAATAGGCATTTTTAGAGTCGATTTCGTATGGATTATCTACCTTTTATTTGTCAAGGACTATAAGGGCTTTTTTTTATTTTTAAATTGTAAACAGTCGGCTGTAGTAGTGGTTTTCCCACTTTGTCGTACAGGTTTTCCATCTTGCTTTACCGAAAAAGCATAAATTAAATCCCATCTGGGAATTACGCTTGATAGCCGCCGTAAGCTCTTCTCTCGTGATTGCCGACAGCCGAAAACTACTCACCTAGTGCCGTGAGTACCGTGATTTAGTTCATCGATCAACCCCGTTTATCTTTCTAAAGGTAGGAAACCGTAGGTGAACCAGGAGCCTGTCACAATATTCATTTGCCATTAACTTTTTAAATCTTTTTTTACTTATTTCAGATTTTCTACTGATCTCACAACCAAACTGGCTTAGTGTCAAGTGCTCAGTTTCAGCATTAATACCATGACTAACAACACATGTCTATGTTCAGACCATTTTTTAACTGAACATTATTATAAAGGTAGCAATAGATTGATAAAAGGAGCTATACCAAAAGCTGTACCTGTACCTGACTTTCGAAATGTTTAAGTTTTTCCATATAAACACTAGAAGTAATTTAATTAGATATTCATATATATGTGACTTTCGAAACACACTTATTTCCTTATTTTGTTAAATAGATAATTTTAAAATGTTTTATGTTCTAATATAGGCAGTCAAATGTAACTGAACATTTTACCTTGAAAATGTGTATGATGTATCTCACGAAAAAAATGTATTTTTTCTGTATTCATCCCATTCTATATGTAATTGGTTTTAACTGTTGAGTGGTATACTACATAAATTATAAATACATTTAATGGGAATTTGGTAGCATTAATGTTAATTTCGTTTTTTGGTTTTGTTTTACAAATAGCTTACTTCTACACACAGATATTACATCTAAGAACAATCAATAACTATGTTTTAATTACATTGATTAATATTTTTTTTATAAAATATGTACATTTATTATTATTACTATTATAAATAAATTATTATTTGTTTTTATTTGCCTTTACTTGTCTTTTATTTGTTCTATAAAAAAGATTACAGTTTTTAAATGACCTACTTGAACTAAACGAAAATAATGTATGGCCACGAATCATTTGAAAGCATGTAGTTTCAAAACCTATATCTACAATAAAATAAGTTTTCAATCCTAAACGAACATATAGTCATTTCCAGTAAAACAATATATAATACAGTGTATAACGAAAGCTTAACATAAATAAAAAAGAACTCTTAATATTTTTAAATAAATTTTGGTTCTCTTAGTGCCAGTCTTTTTACCTCTGAGTAAAGTTGAATAACTACTTGCTGTTTAAACGATAGGCTACTGTTCGCTAATCTGTCAAGTAAACATACGTGCAACTTTACTCAGAGGTGAAACGATGGGCCCTTAATGATGCGAATCAGTTATCTAAATGATTAGTTATTGTGACATTACACTGCATAAATTGTAAACATAAATACGAACCCTTTCAAACCGTACGCCATTGAGAATGGAGTACCTACCCCTCTCCACTCATGTCTAAAGTGATGACTCCGCTTATACATAACACATTACATTGAATGATATCTCTAGTCTTATATGCTCTAAGGATTTGACTGATCAGTTGTATTTTAAACATTTACTCATGGGTAGCGTTATTTTGTATATTGCAAGGAGTTCTTATAGAAACAAAATAAATATAAATTTTAGGTATTTAATTTTGCCCCAGAAAGCTTAAAAAAGAGATAGTTACATGATTTTGTTGTTTATTAATAGTTTATTCAAAACAAAAATTTTAATTTACATACACAGTTTTACCCTGCGATTAAGTAAGTACGATGATTAAAAATAACATAACTTTTAAAATTCTATATTAAACAGTGATTATTATAAATAATTGTCTTTTGACATACATATAAATCTTTAGCATCACTCTCAAAGCGTCCTGTCATCATTAAGGGATATAATTATAGGGTTAATTTCGTTTATCCTGTTTTCACGTGCCCACCAGTCGTCAATTAATTTATCACATTTTTGAACACTTTTTTTGCCAAATTTCTGGGGTTGATGTATCCAGTACTTGTTTCCATATTTCCCTTACTGCTTTGTCGCTGTAACCATTAATTCCAATATGATTGTCATAATACGTTTTACATATACCTCAAATGTGTTCGATGGGGTTAAACTGACAATGGTACGGTGGAAGCCGTAACACATCATGTCCATAACTATGTATGACTTGATCTACCATATAAATTTGTGGTGGTTCATGCCGTTTGGGTAAAGTTAACAACTCAGATTTAAGGGCGTATTGTGGAAATGCAACATTTTCGTTACCCATTCTTGTATTTTGGCTACAGTCCAATTCTGTCTTGGCGGTTTGTTTAAAAGTTCTGTGTGATAGCTCGCATTATCTAACACTATAACAAACGGTTTACTTAAATTTGGTAAGAGTTTTTCATTTAACCATTTGATAAACATATCCGAGTTCATGTTATTGTGGTAGTCTTCTGATTTTGTTTTAAGAAAAATATTAATCCTGCACCATTCACAAATCCATTCTTTCCACCTGCGTGCAAGATTATGTGTCGCTTTCCCTCACTATTAGTATGTTTTATTGAAGTGGAGGACGACGCTTATTTTACTCAACTGCCTGATGCGAAATTATCCTGTAGACCGGCTCAGTCGTGCATCTGTTTCTTAATCCGATATGGGTGTAAATTCAGTGAATGACCTATACTGAATTTTTCATTAAAAGTCACAGAAAATCGATTAACTATTAAAGTTAAACCGTAGTCATTCCTGTGAAACTGGATAAGGAACAAACTTTTTCATCTTGTGTATTAGGGGTTTTATATTAATAATAGCAAGCAGTAAGCTGCAGCCAACCAAATATTGGACTTGTAGAGAAAATAATTATATTCTTTATGTTTCAGGACGTACATACATCAGCTTGGTACTTGCTTCTTGGATGTATGTCTGCTTTCTCTCTTTGGATTGACATTATATGTGTTATATTTATAGCTTGCATCATCTTTAGTTTCGTTGTTATACATTCCTGTAAGTAGAGCTATAGAAACATTTTCCGCCTTTCGAAATGTTAACAATACACGTATTGGATTTTTAGATTCACCTGTGAGTAGTAGTTTGGTAGGTCTTGCTATTGCCCAATCCATGGTTCTTACTGCCATGGTCCAGTACGGTCTACGCCAGGCAGCTGAAGTCATTACTCAACTAACCAGCGTGGAAAGAGTTATGGAGTACACTAAGATCGATACTGAAGGCCCATTTGATACTCCAGAAGGTAAGTCATTTATATATTGGGTCACATTAGTGATTATGTCAGAATCCGCGAATGAATGTAACCTAATATCCTTGGAGCCACAATACACAATAGGGCTACTTATAGTTCTTGCTCCCTTTTAATATACATGAGAAAGAGAGAGAGGGAAAACCACCCTTACACTATAGAAATAATATAGCTGTTAATCTATCAAGTAGCAAGTAAATTCTACAGTAGAAACTATGAAATATATAGATTAGGTTGAGAATAAGTTGAAAAAATTTTAAGTTATCGGGCTCATAAGTTTTAAAGAAAGTTTTTTCAATCGGCTTTATATGTAGCAGTTTTAATTAATCTTGAAACTCAAAAGAACTAATGGAAAAAGGTTACAGCGCGGTTGCCAATATTTTAGCAAAAAGAAACAAACTGGGCATCATTAACAGAGGATATTTAGGATTAAATCTCACTAAATCCCACTAAAAAACGTTAATTTTTTACTTATTTTATTTTAATTCGTTTTAATTTCAGTTTCAAATAAATATTGTATAAAAATTAATGTATGTTTTTTTAATGTCTACCCAAAACCAAAAAACATGGCAAGTGGTCATAGACTGTCCAGACTTTGTCAACCACAACAAGGTGTAGATCACCGAATCTGGAAGAAGTTCTTAGCTCTTGGATATTAATATTCTCTATAAGCTATAAATCTTTAATTGTATTTTACATTTGTATTATAATATTTTGTACCTGTGTCAATAACCGTGGTAGTTGAGACACTTTGATTTTCAATTAAACAATATTTTTTATAGAAGTTAGTTGTTAACATTAATGCTTTTTTTCAGAATATATTCCAAAAGGACCTTGGCCTACAAATGGAATGATATATTTTCAAAACGTTTCTCTAAAATATGGTGAAAATGAACCACCAGTTTTAAAAAATTTAAATTTCTCGCTCAAACCTGGAGAAAAGGTAATTTTTTATTATCACCCATTCCTATTTCAAATATTATTCAAATATTATGATAAGCAAAGATAATTTTTATGATGAAATTCTTTTTCTACAAATAAAATAGAAAAAGCAACAAATTGTAATTCATTGTATTCATTCATTTTAGAATTAATGTAGATTGTAACATTTTTAATTCTTATGTACTTACTAAAAAACTATACAAATTTACATTAAACACAATGCTATAATCACTATTCAAATACGTTTAAAATACGAAAAAATTTTTGGGTATATCTCGCCAGACACAATATTGCTGTTAGCATTCCCTTTTTAGTTTAGTTTACTTTTGTAAATAAAAAAACTCATGGATAGTAAAAATTTTCATCTCGGGCCAATGCCCTCATAGCCTCTCCTGTATCCACTCTTGTTTACTAATAATTAAGTAAAAATTGCAGTGGCGCATCCAGAATTTAAGTTTGGGGGGAGGGGGTAGTGTAAATATTGACTTTATTTCTGATATAATTTAAAAACAAAACAAACAAAAAACATATAATACAAGTAAATTTAAAAAGAACAACTTTTACATGTATAATAAATATTAAACACATTTTAAAAACATTAATAACACGAAAGCTTATAAATGAAAACATAACAAACACAAACACAAACAAAAATATTTTTCAAATACTGAATTCAGATTTTAATTTTAAAAGTATTAAATCTCTGTTTTGGTTATTTTCAAATTTATTCCACAAATACTTCAATCGACTGACTAATTTCAGTATCCGTTTTTGAATTGAAAATGGAAGGAAAAAATATATTGAACTCGTATTTATTCAAAGATTCCTTGTTAAAACGAAATTGGAGATCTTGCAATATATTATCTAACAAAGGAATATAGATGCTAAGTCTAAAATAAGATTCGTTATTTTCTGCAGATATATTGGGGCGATGCGTTTGTCTCTGAGTAACTCTTGGTTTGATAATTTCTAAATCTAATTTTTTATGAATATCTGACACTAGAGTAAAAATGGTCCTAAAATAAGTTTCGGAATTTCGACGTCTTTCTTTTAAAATGGTGATAAGATTTTGTGGAAGCGTAGTAACATAGTGTTTCTCAATTGACTTTTTTTGCAATATTTTACTTAAATTTACAGAAAAGCTAAAATATCAGACAGAGAGTATAAAGAAATTATAAAAACGGTGGAACCTATAGCATTTTTTAAGAGGCGTCCCGATCTTTCCAATGGAAAATAATATCAAGAAGGTCTACAATGATTTGAATAGTACTTTGAAACTGAAGCACATATTCGTGACGTTCTACCCATCTATAATAATAATAATAATAATAATAATAATAATAATAATAATAATAATAATACTCTCCCTAATTCACCCCCTTACGAGTGAATTTCAACCCCTGAAGTCGACTAAACGACTTGTGTAGGGGAAGGGACGGCTATTATTATTATTTGCCGTGGCACTCCGGGGCGACTTAAAGATGATTGATGGTGCCATTTGACTTACAGATGAGGAAAACCCGGAAAACCTCACCCACCATCATCGAGACGGTAATGCATGGCGATTTTTTTTAATCTGCATGTCATATCCATAGAAATTGAATTTCTATTAATACGGCACACATCAAATCCTAAACCGAACCATGCAATTTAAATAAAAATCCACATGGTCTGGTCTGGGATTCGAAGCCCTGCAGTCTCAGACTTATAAACTTGCCTATAATTGAATATAAGCGCGTTAGACCGCTACACTACCGACCCGATCTGGTCTCACATATGCTTTTAGAGCTCTTTCACACGAGGATACTGTATGCGGGATACGCGTATCCGAGATACAGAATCGCAGTCGAAAAGTTGGGCTGCTGTATCGAATTCACGCATCTCTTCAATCAATACTAAAATAGTAGCATTGTCGTGCATATATTTTTGAATTATGGATCTAGAAGAGTATATTATACTGAAGTATATAATACAGTGACCCACATAAAATGAGCATCTTATGGGATTTTTTTCTAAATGCTGCAGATGCATTTTGACTTTGCTATCTTCTGTTGCTTTAAAAATGATAACGAATGACATGCAAATTGACAATCACGTGACCTTTTTAAATGTCTAAAATAACATTTTTTTCCTAAAAATTGCAAAAATGGTATTAATTTCAAGAAATTGCTAAATAAAAAGTTTGCTCATTATAAAAATGTTTACCCATATAACACGTTAATAGTTAACCTGACTTAATTTTTAAAATTTTACTTTGTACTAAAATGTTTTAAATGTTTACTCATACAGTTTAATCGATTAAACTAGATGCACTTAGGATACCCTTGAAAAATACCCTGCGTCTATAATATAATCTGCGTTGCAAAAGTATCCATGTCTGAAAAGGTCTATATATCGTAATAGTAATTCTGTATGTGGCATACGCATTCAGCCTCCGCGGCTGAAGGTGCCGGGATATAGAAATTCCGTATCGCGATACTGAATGCATTACCAGTACCGTGTGAATAGCTCCATTTAAATGTATGGTCAGCCTGAATCTCGGATACGTGTATCTCGCATACAGTATCCTCGTGTGAAAGAGCTTTTAAGCTGACTATGGTCATCTAACTTTTGCTTAAGTAGAAAATTCCTTTTTGCGGAAGCATTAAAAAATGCATTTACCTCTTTTATAACGCCAACGGCATTTTTAACACCTTGAACGTTTGAGCTTTTTGAAATAGATAAATTTAAGGACTTTTAAGTGCATTAGTTAATTCAGTAACGGCTCCTTTTTGTTCACCAAGCATTAAGTTGCAAGTATCAGTTCCAATTCCTATACACTTATCGGGATTTAAATTAATTTTTTTATTAAAATTAAATAAGATTTGAGCCAAAATTTTACCACTAACTGTTGGTTCTAATGTGTCCTCATCAAACATTGCATGACAATCAATAAAACCTACGAAATCTTCGTACAGACAATTTTCGTAACAGTATCTTAAGATTATTGACATTTGTGACTTACGACTTATGTCTGTGGTTTTGTCAAATATTACACTATAAAATTGACTTTTATTTACTCGTTGTAAAATGGTTTCTAAAATCTCCTCACCACAGAATTCAATTATTTCATTTTGCGTATAACTACTAATATAGGTTGTACGAGATGAAGTGTTTTCTAAATGTTTTTTTAATACAACATCGCCACTCTCTATTCTAAATTTAATTAATTCACGAAAGTTACCTTCATTATTAACAAGACTATCTTCATCTTCAGAAGAATCTTCGGAAATGACAAGAGACAAGAGATTCTCGATCTCTATGCGCTCTAAAAGGAATATTTTGTCGTCCCAAAAAGATTACTGACTCGTTAATGGGTTTCAATCTAAGTTTATTTTCTAAAATCTGCCTTTGTCTTTCTTGATCTAATGTAGTGATGCCGCGAGACGAGACGAGAGAGAGAGGCCTCTCTCGTCTCGTCTCGTCTCGTAGGGAGAGAGAAAACTGTTCTCTCGTCTCGACGAGAATGCGCTACTCTCGCTCGAAAGAGCCATTCTCTCGTCTCGTCTTGCCTCGTCTCGTTTCTCTCGTGATAAAAACATATCAAATTTAAATTTAGAAAAGATATACTTAGGATAAAACATGAAAAAACTGTAAAATTTTGAGGACAATAACAAATATATTTTCAAGTAATTTGTCTCATCAGTATCCAAATTGGCAATAAGAAATACTTGGGGAAATTACCTTTGTATCTCTCTGCCTGTCTGTTTGTCACAATTGTTTTACTTAGTAATTGAAAATTTTAAAGAAGTAAAATAGTTAACTGCGCGAGAGAACTCGAGAGAGCTCGAGAGAAACGAGAAATTCTCGTCGAGAGATGACGCTCTCTCGTCTCGTCTCGAATCTTTTTTCGAGAAAAAAATGTCTCTCTCGTCTCGTACGAGACAAGACGAGACGAGAGACGAGAATCTCTCGTCTCGCGGCATCACTAATCTAATGTATTTCTTACATCTATCTCTGGGTTTTCATAAATTTTATTTAAATTATGTTCCTCTGTAACAGCTTTAGTATGATAGACCGATTTATCATGCATTATCAAATTGCCATCTTTTCCGAATAGTTTGGAATACTTATTTAGTTGAGTGGTAACAAGACGTCCCAACTTAGTTGACTGATGTACACCTCCCACTTTTCGAAAAATAATGCAAAATTTACAAAATATACCCTCTAGATCTTGCGAATATGTTAGCCAAGAAAAAGTGTCAAAATGTCGTTTTGATAAAAAGCATTTAATATCTTTATCATTTTTTCTGTAAATTGAAAACGGGTACGTAAAATTTTGATCCGGAACCATAGAGTACATTAAAACCGAATATTTTTCCAGCAATGTAATTATTTTAGATTTATTGACAAAAGGGGCAACGTCTATCAATTTTTTATAACCTTGTAAAATATTAAATGTGGCAACGCTGTGGTTACTGCTGCTACCGGCGCTAGTTTGGGCGGTTTGTTTACCCATACTCGAACTTGAATACGCTTCCTCAGAGGATTCCCCGACTGGTGATAAATTTACGACTTCCAAGGTTATTATTCCCCTATTTTGTTTTGGTTTTAACAAATAATTATCTAAGGTATTCCGTTTTCTCTTACTCATTGCTAATTTCTGTTGTGTTTAGTATCTGCAAGTGCAAGAACAAAAATAATTTGCAACAATGGTAAATTTTAGATATTAATAATCACATAAACTTAAATCTAAATTACTAAACTTAATAAAAATACCTGTAAAGTAAAACCTTACATGAACAAAGTGTATCACTTTAGTATCACTATTACTTTGGTGATCCAGTATCCAGTACCTCCAGTAGAAATCAAAATAAGAACAAAATTATATAAGCAATATTAGTCGAAGAAAGAGTGAGATTCTGAGATACAAGCACGTACAACGTAGAGTGGAAATCTAAGTTAATTTTAAAAAACATCGATTTTTAGGTTTCGATTATCGATGTTTTTTAATCCGATGTTATTTGTTAACATCGATTTTTCTATTAACGTCGATGATTTTTCAACATCGGTGATTTTCTTTTTAATGTTTGTTGGTTTTTTTACTAAGCGTCACGTTCCATCGTTTCATTTGATGGTAGGTTTTTCCAATTTTCCTTTTTTTGCTCTTCAATGAACGCTTTTGGAAAACATCGATGTTTACAGACACATCGATGTGTGGAAAAACAAACATCGATATTTAGAAAAATCGATATTTTCTTTTCCGATTTTTTTACAATCGATAGTCTGTATTCGATGTATCATTTGATGTCAACATCGATGTTTTAAAAATTTTTGGGCATCCCTAGGCGCTTTGAGTGACGGACAGCCGACGAAAGTAAAAAAGCGCTCCTGCCAGATTGAACAAAAAATACTGCAATTGGTCTTTCAATAGTTTGTGCAATACATTTTTAGTATCTATAAAAAGTTAGGTTTAAACATTCTTGGGGGGATAATTACCCCCATTACCCCCATATATGAGCTCCTGAAAAATTACAGGTTTTTTTATGATAATATTAAAAATTAAAAATGAGTACTGCTTCAAGCACATCACAATACTGATATCTTGTTTTTTTAGATTGGTATTGTGGGACGGACTGGGGCTGGAAAATCGTCTCTATTAGCTGCATTATTCCGTCTAACATCTTTTGATGGCGCTATCTACATAGACGGAGAAAACACTAAAAATTTAGGACTGAGCGAACTGAGAAAACATATATCTATAATACCCCAGGAACCAGTTTTATTTTCAGCCACTTTGAGATACAATTTGGATCCTTTTGATGAGTTTGATGACGATCAGATATGGAATGTTTTAGAACAAGTAATCATTAATTTTCTTATTTAGTTGAGAAAATGGTAATAAACATTTATGATAGTTGATTATTTTTACAGGTCGAATTGAAAGAGAATATAGAAAGTTTAGACTACATGGTTGCAGAAGGTGGTACCAACTTTAGTATAGGGCAAAGACAGTTGATTTGTTTGGCCAGAGCAGCTTTAAGGAATAATAAAATTCTAGTTCTAGATGAAGCCACGGCAAATGTTGACCCGAGGTATTATTTAGTGTTTTGTAGTTTTAATGTAGTGAAAGTGTTTTGTTTCTTTATTTATTTTAACTATTTTATTCTTCCTAGTATTTATTTCTACATCAATTTTTTTAATAACCTTGTTCTATTGATATATATATATATATATATATATATATATATATATATATATATATATATATATATATATATATATATATATATATATATATATATATACGGTAGTTCAAAATTATATAACTTCTACTCTCTAAGAAGAATCACATCGTTTCTCTAGGTATTTTTTCATATCATATCCAGTTTTCTTTTGTGTTTTCTTAGGACTGACTTATTCATCCAATCAAAAATACGTGAAAAATTTACTGACTGTACAGTTCTCACCATCGCCCACAGACTAAATACCATCATGGATTCTGATAAAGTTTTAGTCATGAGTTTTGGAAATATGGTAGAATTCGACCATCCGCATAAACTTCTGCAAATGCCAGAAGGACATTTTAGTAAATTGATCATGGAAACTGGACAATCGATGGCTATGCAACTTAGGGATATAGCAATGGGGGCTTATTCTAATGAAATTGAGCTAAGTTAAATAGTTTCTTAAAAGTCGTTTTGAGATAAAGATACTTATAAACAAAAAAAATGTTGTTTTATTTCATGTGGCTTTCAGGTCTCAGTATAGTAGTTTCAGTCAATAATTTGAGAAGAAGAATTATTCAAAAACAAGAATCGTGGTGCAATTGTCTCGCCTAGTCAAATCAAAACTCTTATAGCTATTATTTATTGTAATACAAACAATTCGAATGTAGGGAAAATAAATTGGGTTGTACCAGCTTTTAGTTTACAGGCTCTAATTTCTCATTCTGTATATTTGGTAGAAAAACTCATGTTTAACTTATTTTTATATATTTACTCCTGCAGTATTGAAATTTACGCGTGTTAATAAAAATTTTATTTTAAAATTCACTTACCAGACATGGTCTAGGCCAGTGGTCGCCAACCTCTCAATGTGTTGAGCTACTTTGTTAATTTTGGAATAAACAGCGAGCTACCTACACGGAAGCCACGTAACGCAACGTAAATGAAATAATCCACAGTTAATTTATCATTATATGTATTTATTTTACTATTTAACTGGTAATACATAATACATAGGTACTAATAATAAACTAATAACAAAATAACTAATATTACTAGTACGTACTTGTTCATAGCTACATTCCTACCTACCAAACGAAGGTGTTTGAAAAATAAACACAAACTTTTATCCAGCCACAACGGCATGTTACGTAAGATTTAAAAATAGTTGATAATAAAAACAAAAAAGTAACGCATTATCATAAACATAAACATTGAAAAATAAAAAAGCACGTTCAATGAGAAGGCTGACACTCAGACTCATCGATACTTTTTTTAATGTTTGCAGTATAATTTGATACAGCCATTCGAATACAATTATCCAAATGTTCATCTGTAAGTCGATTGCGATATTTGTTTTTAATAAACTTCATATTGGAAAAAGAAGATTCACACAAATAGGTTGAACTGAATAATGCTTTCACTTTCAAGGCAACACGGCATAGAACTGAATATTTGTCTTAACTTACAATAGGCCAGATACATTTAGTACTTGAGACTAACGATTTTAAGGCTAAATCATTTTGAAACTCAATTACTTCCATTTCTGTTGCAGCGATGTCTTCGCCAAAGTTCTGCATAACACAAATTGCAAACTGTTGGATATCAATTTCCATAAAGGGTGAAACAACAAACTGCGCTACTAAAGCCATTTCGTTGAAATCCTTAAAACGATTTTTGAAGTTATTTTTTAGGGTAGAAACTATTTCTACATGATATTTGCTGTCATAGGGTTCTAATGGATTTTGAGATATTTTTTCTGAAAGAATAGGAAAATGCTTGGCATCGCTGTTAATTAGGTTTTGTTCCCAAAACTCCAGCTTTTTGATAAATGCTTTTATATCAGAAATCATTTCCGCTAGTTCTTTGTCTCTCCCCTGAAGCTGCAAATTAAATTCGTTTAATTTCTCTGTAATGTCCACGAGAAAACCAAAATCTCTAAGCCAGATTGAATTTTCTAGTTTCGGAGTCGGTTCATCGCGTTGTTTGAAAAATTGAACTATACCAGATAGGACATCATTAAAACGTTTCAGCACCCGTCCTCTACTTAACCATCGGACTTCAGAGTGAAGGAGTAGGTCCCCGTATTGACAGTCAACTTCATCGGCCAAGGTTTTGAATAATCTTCTTTGTAACGCTTGAGCTCTAATCTTGTTCACAATTTTTACCACCAGTTTCATAACGTTGTTTAGTTTCAGGAAATTTCCACATAATTCTTGCTGATGGATAATGCAGTGGTAACAGAGAAATTGCGGAAAAGTTTCATCTTTACGACATAACGCCACCAGACCCTTATCACAACCCACCATAGCTGGAGCGCCATCGGTTGTCAAGCCTACCATTTTCGATATTGGAATTTTCTCGGAAGAAATAATATTTTTTAAATGAGAAAACAACTCCTGTCCAGCAGTGTGTCCTTTTAGTGGAATAAACTTCAAAAGATCTTCTTTAATCGTAAAATCACTAAAAACCATCCTGACGAACACAGCCATCTGGGCAGTGTCAACGACATCTGTTGATTCATCCAGTTGAAGTGAAAAATAAACACAGTTATCTAAGTCAGTTCTTAACTGTAAAAAAATATCATTGCTCATTACTTCTACACGTCTCATCACTGTATTAGCAGAAAGTTGCATAGATTTTATAGCTGAAACTATCTCGTCTTTATTTCTAAAGTTGGCAAATAACGAATCAGCAGCTTCTAAAAACGCCTGTTTTATCATTTCCCCGTCTTCATAAGGTTTCTTTTTTTGTGCAATTATCTGAAACACACGGTACGATGCTTCAGTTGCAGCCTTATTTTTGTCGACTGTTCTTAAAAATATTGATTGTTGTCCAATTAACTGCTTTTTTAACTGTTTCAGTTTCTCCTTCCTGGCGGCAGAATGTAGTGGGAATGATTTTTCAAAATTAGAATGTACAGTTTTATGATGTCTCTCAATATTTCCTTTTTTAGCAACAGAGACCGAAGTATTACATAACAAACACACATTTTTATCTTTAACTTCTGTAAAAAAGTATTGTTCTTCCCATTCCGAATGAAAGTATTATGTCTTTACCTTCTTACAACTGCTTGCCATAATATTATTTTTTGTTGTTCTCTACTAACCCAACCGCTGGACGTTGGTTACGCGTTCAGTTTTAAACTAAGCGCAATGTCGACGCGCCGTGCGTATTTATCTCGTTCAAAGCAATCCTGATCGTTCTCGAACACTAACGCGCTGGTCCGGCTGGTCGGGTCTAGCCGATTCTAGCTTGATGGCGTCAGCGGCAGATCGCTCACCGCAACGTTGCCGCTGTTTATGTTTAATATTATGACAATTAGATTTTTTTGTGGAATTTTCGGAAGCTTCTCTGATTTTTGCAGTTTGTATTTTTTAAATTAAAATCGTTGTGAGAGCTACCAGAATTGCCTCCGCGAGCTACCGGTAGCTCGCGATCGACAGGTTGGCGACCACTGGTCTAGGCGGTTGTGACGACGATCTCATATCTGTAAAAATTAAATCCAGTTAATACTTGTCATAATATCATTACAATTTGTTTTCTTTACATTTAAATCATTTATTTTATTCAATGCCTTTTACAAAGTAGCAGCAGGGACAGTAGTTCTCCTACTACATACACAGGAATTGACAGTTTTGCCGCAGAGTTAACCGAAGTGAACGCGATACATTGGCGTAGAAAATTATTTTATAGATGCTAATAACAATTTCACGTAATGCATGTAAATAGTTTAATAAATTGTGAATAGGTGAGGAAATTTTGTAGACTTGATTTGTGCTTTTATAAAGTTGTTTAAATTATTTTACCGGTAACAATTTAAAATTACTTATTCTATGATACGACACTGGTAAATAAACATTACTGGAAATTCTCGAGGTCGTCCGAAGGGGTTTCACGTTTACCACCTCTTTACCTACCAAAAGTCTTTCAAACGTCTGTCTTTGCTATACGTAGTCATAAATCTACATCCCCAACTAGTCATTTATAAAAATATACTTGCTGTGAAGGCGAGATCGAACTCATTCCATCTCTAAATCGGAGTGAGATAACTTTTGCTGGTTTAGTACGGCAAAAGCGCGTCATCGCCTGCTGACTGCATTGAAAACATCCATAGGCGTAGGTATCAGTCGTAAAGGGAAATATTTAATATATTGATTTTTTTATTTTTAATTATTGTTTTATCAGATATTCATTGTATTCTAAGAGTACTTGGTGTCCAAATAAGAAAGGAAGCCGGTTGTTGTTGGCCATAGGATACGTCCTGTATCTCAGAAACTATGCGATACAAAATTTGGGGAAACATTGTCGGCGTACCTACAAGTGCTTGAGATAAATCGATAGAAGTTATTTTCGAGTTTCTAAGTTTACCCCTAGATTTCAAAATGATGTACCCCCTTTCTAACAAAAACAGAATCATAAAAATCGAACATAGTTATAAAGAATTATCACTGCTTGTTAGATTCTTACAATTATAATTAAAACTAAATATTTTTAAAGTAAATCGTTACCTATAAATTTACAAATAAATTATTGTACCTAAATACGTTTTGAATTAATTTTTGTGCGCCTATAAGGTATATAACAACATTCATATTCATAACCATAGCCTAAGAAATCAGCTTAATTGTAGAAGGAAAGATTAACATGTAAATAGTCCTTTTTTTATAAACAAAATACTCTTCATAATAATTTAATTACATAAATAATCAAACAAATTCATAAAAAACAGTTTTCCCAAAAAAATAGCTGCAACTAAACACGAAGCACTTTTATGAATGAAACAAATTTACGACCCCCTTTACAAATATCGTCAACTGTAAATGCGCTGTTGTCAGACGTACAATTTCTTTCGATAATTTAAAGACAAATAGTATTGACAGCTAATTTACATTACTACTGTTAAACGCATCGTAAACTTAGCATCAATGTTCAATCGGAATATTGTATTTCTGCCAAGGACGTGTTGGCTTCAGAAATTTTGTAAATAATTCTATCTGTCTAGGCTATATATCTATGGATAAACCCTCATGCTTCTCTTTGAATTCTGGTAACAGAAAATCACATTTAAAATATATTTTCTCATTTCCATTCCAACTAAAGCGTAAAAATATATGTGGCTAAATCTAACCTCCTTTTTAATACAAAAAATAATTTTTTTCATAAAATGTTCGTCAAATTTAAATACAATAGGTTGTAGCATTTTCTATAATATAGAATATAAGTATTTTTAAATATAAAATAACTTGCATAACTTGAATATAACAACGGTTCTGTAAATAATGATAAGAAAATCATTTTTGATCACGTTCCTTTTTAGTTAACTCTCTATTCAACACTAACAGAGGAACATAATGATTATACAGGGCGGACCATAACTAATGGGATATAGAGCAACCACAGATTATTTTAATTAAACTATTTGGACCAAACACTATTTTAACATTAAAATATAGTTTTATATTGTTTTTGGTAGAACAGTTC